CTGGCCTCCATGGACTACAACTACCAAACTCCATGGATCCCTAACTTAAGTCGTCCCAGAAATGAGTTAATCACTCCACATTTTCTCAAAACCTCAACAAGACTTTCAAATTCGCAGGGAAAGAAACGACGTTAACAAGAACAAAAAAAAAGATTACGGACTTCCATGCACATAATCTATCAATGCATATGAACACACCTTGCGCGCCAACCCTCGATTGCTCGAGTCAATTTGGCAGGAAAAAACGGAAAACGACCTCGTTTTGCAAGAGACTGGAGGACAGGGAAGATGCTTTGCGGTGACAGGGAGGGATCGTATCTCCATGTCTAGACTCCGTTAACAGAACAAGCATTTGCATACCAGAGGGGGGTGGGGAAGAAGAGCCAATGTAATCTCATGAGGTTCGTTTTGGGTCTCGATAAATATATAATTTAAAAAAAAAAAAATAGAATGTTTACAAAATTTATTTAATTTTCTATAACTCATTTTATGTTAATGTTGATAAAAAAAATAATTATATTATTTAAAAATATATCTAAGTTTCATTTTTGTTCATTTAATTTAATAATTAATAACTTATTATGGTATAGTTTTAAAAACATTATATTTTTCTATTTATTTTAAATATTTAATTTTTTTATGATTTGGTAGGAATGCATACATTAATATATTAAATAATAATCATAACACAATAAAAAATAAATTTTAAAGTAAGAGTACATGAGAACATATTTGATTAAAAATATAATATTTTATAAAAAAAAAATTAAATATGTCAACTGTTTAAACTAAATATAATTAAATAAAAATATTTATAATATGAGAAAATTTATAAATGCAATTTAATAATAATATCATCTACTATAGTTTACAATGTTCGAAGTTTCCAAGGTAATAACTTTTATTGCTCAAGTTTTGCATTTTTCCCCAAAGTAATTTTTATTTTGAATTTAATTAACATATAAATACTTATCAAATATAAACAAAAATAGTTTAAAGAATAAATTTAAGAACTTACTGTGTATATACATAGTCCCCTTTTTTATATTTCTTAATGATATTATTATACTATACTCTATATATATATATATATATGTATAAATGCAATTCATATTTATTGGGATTTGATATTTGAATTATTACACTTGACTTGCTTGGTAATGGCACCATTGAATAGACAATGTTTTAAAAAGACACGAACATTAAGATATGTCCCCGCTCGTCTGCTTTTATATGTCTCTTCTGCCATGTGCAATGAAATAAAATATACGTATATATATATATATATATATATGTACGTATACATTCATTGGGCTTTTACCATAATTATCCCCTTTTTCACATTTTTATAATTAAAAAAAATTCAATTAATATTTTTATAAGAAATATAAAAGTAAAATAGTAATAGATTATAATTTTTAAATATTAAAAAATACAATTTTGTCATTTAGAAATGTAATTAGTTATATTCATAGTAGTAGACTCTAACATGTTTAATTATAAAATTTAATGACTTATTTGTAATATAGAAATACCTAATAATTACTTTAATTTTTCTATATTAACTTAATTATAGTTAAAATTGTTTAATGTAAAAGGAAGATTTTTTTTTTAAAAAAAAAAAACAAAGGAATCCTCATAAATTTCTCCATAAATATCCGAAAAATTAGCTGTTAATCATCATTACCAACTCTTAATTATAAAACAGAAAGTAATAATTACCATTTGCCATAAAATTCAACAAAATTTCTTCTTTTTATAAAATATTAATGAATAATAATTATTAGAAAATAGTAAAATGCAACAGAAAAAGGAACCAAACAGTAAATTAGCAGACGGTTTATATTCCCATTTTCTTCTGAAAACCAGTGAGGTCAGGGACTTGGAGGGAGCTGAAAGGCGGTCGCTCCCTCTCTATTTCTCTCTTTCTCCTCCCTCTCGCTCTTCTAAATTTGGCTACAGAGAATCTACTCACTTGCTTCTTGCTTACTCCTTGAGATCTACAAGGGAAGCAGACCTCTCTTTCTTTGCGATATGTCGCCTTAGCTTCAAATTTAGTCGATACTGTTTTGGTTTTGGTTTTGGTTTTGATTAAATTTCTCTGCTCGAAATTTGTACCGTCTCTGCAAACTTCAGGAATTTTTGTTGATATCCAGTTTTTTATTTTCCCAGAATATGGAGAATTTTTCCGGAAAAAAGCGACCATCCATAAATCTCTCACTCTTCACCACTCTGTCAGACTCGTTGTCTTCTTCCAATTCGTTAAAATCTCCGAGAAATTTTGAAAACGGAGTTGTTGGGTTAGGCATACTGGCTGCTATGACCGGCGCGGATAATAATACTCATGAATCGTTTCGCTCTCTTAAATCTCCAAGATCGAACCCGGTCCCGATAGTGTCTTCTGCAAACCAGCTGCTTATTTTACATGCGGGCTGAATTTTG